TGGTTTCTGAAGATTAGCTGACTGTAATGCATAAACTAAACATTTGCAAAATAGTGAAACTACTTTCACCTTGAATGAAAACCAATTAAAATATGTTTCCCATTTCCTTTGCCTGTTTTTAAATTATCTTGGTAGCTACAACCTCAAGAGAGAGAACAGGTTGGATGTTCATAGATTAATAGTTTTCTTTTTCTTTTTGAAGAATGATCTAATCTTCTGGAACTATAAAATCTTCCGGGGGAGGGGAAGTATAGTATATTTTACCACTAGATTTGCTATGAAAGAACTCTTCAAAACTGCCTTCACAAATGGAAAATCACTCAGATCATTCCTTGTATAATAGATGTTACACACACGTGTTTTCACAGTTGTATGTTTGTGTATGTGAGAGAAAATTAGCACCGGGGTAAGTGTTGACTCTAAAGTGGCACAAATATTCTGTTTTGCTTTTTTTTAAAGAATATGGGCATTTCTACTATCTGTACAAATAGAAGATTTGTGCCCCCAGGATGTTAATTTTTAGAGGAATTGAATTAATACTCTCCTTATGATAGAACCTGCACAAAAATGTTGCATATGTGATTATTCCAGATTTATTTCCTTAGCCCTATATTAAACAAAAACTGAAGAGACCCCCTCAAACATTCTAGTTCCAGTTCCTTTGCAATGTCTGTCTATTGATTTTGAACAGTTGATAAAGTGTCTAGATTGTGGCTTGCAAGTATATAGATTCCAAACAAACTGTGATTTCTCTTTACCAGAAACCAACAATTCCTTCTACTTGTGTCAGGCTTCACACTCAGGTTTGGTAGTTACTCACTAGTCTCCAGATACTTACCTTGTAGTCTAACTTCTCAGCTAGCCTTACGGTTCATTTAATGAAGCCTTCTATACAACAATTGAACAGCCATTACGGCCCCAAGATGTCACAGATTCTCACATGTTTGCATTCTACCTTTTTAACACACTTTCTCAAAGTAATGAATATTTGAGATAGGTTACTTGATGGTCTTACATATTTATAATATATTTATAACACAACCGTGTTTTAATTCTTAGGAATTGCTGCCTCCCACCCTGCTAGCATAAAATCTTAATACTTGGGTTTTAAAATATAATATTTCCATTAGAGACTGGAATTGATATAGCTTTTCTACTAATTTGAGGTTATTCACCTGCCAAACTGCTGGCCAATACCCTGATAAAAAGGTAACGGAGTCCCTGCGGATTTTACTCTGCTACGACTATAGGGACAGTGCTCATCTCTGTTTCAAGGCCATTGAGCCAGTGCTGTCTGAATACATTTCTGTAGTCCTGTGACCAGCATGGCGTCATGGAGTACTGTTACCTTCCCAGCAAAGTGGTACCTATGCTTATCACACTTATATGCTTTTGAGCTGCTAAGTGGGCAGGAGCTGGAGTGAGGATGGGAGCTCCCCTCATCGTGTGCAGTTCAGGTCTCAAACCTGGGCTGCCAACATTCTAGCCAACAAACCCAGCATCTTAACTGCTAAAATGGTGTGGCACTGTGCCGCACCGTGCCGCACCTTTTCTATACCCTGGTATTAAGAGTATAAAAGGAGTTCTGGAAAAAGGAGTTCTCCTTACTCAAACATCATGCAAAAATTCTTGATTATCTCTGGTCTATGCAAAAAGGATGCTCCAAAATAACTTCTGAATGATACTCTGAAATTTTTGAGAGACATGAAGACCAGGGGTGGGATTCTACTGGTTTGGACTGGTTCTATAGAACTGGTTGTTATGATTCTGTGCAGTTTGGAGAACCGGCAAATTGTGCCCCTGGCTGGCCCCGCTCCTCTCTGCCCATCCCTCCCCACCCCTCCCAGTCAGTCCTTATTGCGCATGTGCAACATTACTGCATTCTCCCCACCCAGTCACTCCTTAAGGTATTTCTTTTTCCCCTCTCCTGACAATCAGCTGTTCTGATGATCAGCTTTGCCGGGATCCCCCTCGCTGTCTTACTGCTTCACCCAGGAGGCTTCCCTGAGGCCCAGAAGGCCCAAAAATGGAGCATTGGAGGGGGGTGCTGTGCGCCCCCCTAGAGCTCCATTTTTTTCCTTCCTGGGTCCCAGAGTAGCCTTCTGGAACAAAAAAACCCACCGGGAGCCTTCCCTGAGGCCAGAAGGCAAAAAATAGGGCAGGGGTGTGCTGCAAAAAAAAAGAGAGAGAGAGAGAAGCCACGCCCACCTAGCCACCAGAGGTGGTATTCAGCAGGTTCTGACCAGTTCTGGAGAACCGGTAGCGGAAATTTTGAGTAATTCGGAAAACCGGCAAATACCACCTCTGACTGGAGATTTTACAGTATCCTTCCACTGCCACGCCCACCAAGCCACACCCACAGAACCAACTAGTAAATTTTTTTGAATACCACCACTGCTAGCCATGCCCACAGAACCAGTTGTTAAAAAATGTGAATCCCACCCTTGACAAAGACTGACAAAACATGTCATACTGGAGTTGGCCTATCAGTATCGTCTACACAGAGCTTGAAAACTAGGTTCTGCCAATTGGCCTGGAGCCTCAATGAGAGTGTGGCTAATGACTGAGATAAGATCCCACCCCGTGTACATCTTGCTCCCTTCCTTACCATCCTTAATGACTTTTAGTCAATTTTAATGTTAATATTAATTATTTTAATATTTTAATGCTTTATTTTATTGTTTTTAATTGGTTGTAGGCCACCTAAAATATACTATTCATTGATGTGTATTTTAAGTTAATAATATATCAATATTCATTAATATTAATAATCCCAGTAGCATTCCAGTTTCAAAATAATTTTTATTGTGATTTGTCACACAGTCAGCCAGACGTTTAGATTGTATTTGGCAGTTTTATCCACTATTGAGCCCTTCCCAAGGACCTGAGATAGGCAGGTGTTATTTTTTGATGGTGTTACATCATCACAGGACATAAGCTGTTCTAAATAAAGCTGCCTTTTGTAATTGACTTTGATTTTGTCAATGCCAAGGCTGGTGCTCCAGATACTTTGGGATTGCACTCAATGTGCATATCACTACTACACTATCTTTGCTTTCTTTTGCCACAGATATTCTACTTCTATATGCGGGCCTTTGTATTTTGTTATTTTCTTCAGTTCTTTCTCTTTTCTTCAGCTGTCTCCAAGTACTGCCTGGACATTTTTGGTGTTTTAAAATTATCATCAGTTGTTAAATCTGGGGTGTTATTTGGCAGTTGTTCGCCTGTTTGAATTCTAAAATCCCAGAGCACTTTAACTTCTTCATTTTCTATTACTTTGTCTGCTTTATCGTCACACCCGTTCTTGCTTGCAGACAAATGGCGTTTCTTGCAAATATGCCAATGCATCATAGTTCGTATTTGTCATGCTGTTACTTTGTCATCTTCTTGCAGCAGCTAACTAGATATTTCACTGTTCCTTCAGCTTCTTTGCAGAGGCGGCATTTGCTATTTGTTGCTGTCCTCCCAATTCTGGCTTTGTATGCATTTGTTCTTAAGGCTTGGTCTTGCGCATCCAGAATTAGCCCCTCCATCTCCCTTTTTAAATATTCCTGTCCTTAGCTATTGCAAAATCTTGTTATCTGCTTTTCTTGCTATTACTACTTTTTATTACTATTAACACTAGAATGCTAGTGTACTATTTAAACACAAAGTTACAAGACAGTAAGAGAAGAGGAAAGAAATTATGAGCAAGCAATAAAAGTACTACATACTACACATACTACACCACATTTAAATACTTTAATAAGTAATCCGAAGTAGTTTTGATGGTCCACTATTAAAATGAACAAATATTTACACTTATACTTGAAGAATTCATGGCAGTGTGACAGGACACAATTAATGTTGCTGGTTTCTGGGCAAGATCTCTTTAATTTGTACATATTTTCATTTTGTATTTTATATTTACATTTTTATGTCATATAGTAAGACTTAATTTAACTGTGATGCTTCTGACACAAGTAAACAAACAAACAGCAAATGAATGCCAGAGAATTAAATAAGTTGTAATGAAGTGACTCTATTGTGTGAACCTATTGTTTCATCTATTGTTTCTAAGTAGAGTCTTTTAAACAGCTTACAAATATGGGACCACGATAATAGTAAAAAATCAAGCAAATGACAAATGCAACAAAACTACATAAAAGATTAATGACGGCAAACAAAATAATAATTATGTGTGCTAGTGCAACAATATCTTCAAAACAGATATAAGAAAATGTTTGTTCGAATCTCCCTTTCATCATGAAATCCAAAATCTGGATGTTGCTAATTGTGGGAAAAGCAGAGGCAGGGAATCACAACACTAAAGCTAATTTATTTTTTACAGAAATATATTTATTTATTTGCATTCATAAGGCTATCTAACTCTAACAAACTCTGGGTGGCATACAATAAAAGCAATAATAAAATACAAATTAAAAACCTCAAAATGTTTGGAAAAAAATAACCAATCTAAATTTTAAAATATCCAGGGCCTATCACTCTCTCTAATCTAAGGCCTGTGGGAAGAGCCATGTTTTCAGGGATTTTTTTAAAAAATGCAGCCAGGGTGGGAGTCAGATGAATCCCAGCGGGGAAATATTACGGGAGTTCAGCTAATTAAGAACTCTGCTTGTACATTGTTTTGAAACTATAAGGAACTAAATATGCTGAGCTTTGTGCGTACATTAAAAATAAGCTGTGGAATATAGGTTGTGGCCATTTATCTGTCTATATACCGTTTATTGCTCTCAAGTGAATGAGAGCTCTCTATGAACCAAGTAATATATGCAAGGTTCTAAATTCATTAGATACAAATTGCTTATTCAGAGACACTCAGTTGGCACTGCTGAGAAGATCTGATCACATATTTCTTGTTTCCACTCTTTGCTAGGAAGTAATTTTGGGTGGGAAACAATACGTTACACTCTTCCAAGACTGTGATAACCACAATCTAAGTGTTCACACATTCAGAACCATCCAATATCGCATCACTGAATTGCCTCTTGGAGTTCTCATGCTCCTGGAGAAATATGTCATTAATTGTAAGTTATTCTCTATTCTTCACTTCTTCAATGTCTTGAAACCATTACCAACCCCAACAGTAATAAAAGTACGATTTCCACTATGTGGGGGAAACTCAGGATAATTTTCCCATTGCACACGACCCAGAGATAGAGCTAAGATATAGAGATAGAGATAGAGCTTGCCTGACTAGTAGACTGATAGAGATATCAGTAGACTAGTAGACTGACTAGTAGAGATAGAGCTTGCCTGACTAGTAGAGAATACAAAGAAACATTTTTGCATACATCTGTAATTGCAGCTTTCACTTTGGCTCCTGAAAGATAGTTGGGTAGATCACACAAAACAGGATATCAAGGTAGGTGAAGACGGAGTCAAAGTGTTAATTGCAGAGCTGCTATTTCGGTAAATGATTCTACAGCCACAAAGAAACAAGCATGTTTCCATCAGCAATATTTTAAAAATGAATCAGCTTTTATTGTGTTTGGGAGACATAGCTTATAAACAAATTAGTCCAGAATTACAACAGCAATCTTTCTGATGTTTTGCCTTGAGAATGCCTTAATGAGGCATTCTCTTGTTCAAACATAGCTTATGGAGGAAATTTTGTATAGTTCTTTTCTGCATTCCATTCACACCAGTTGCTCAGTGCCAGGCAACTCAGTAGTTCATTCGCTATAATGAAGTAGGGTCCACTTTCATACTGGCTGCACTAATGAGCATCCTAAGAAACTCCTCAGAGACAAGAGCCTATTGCAAATGTGTTCACCAATACACTCCTATTAATAGCCTATGTGAAAGAACTGACCAATCTCACCACATATTATGGTTTAACTTTGATTGCTAAACTGCATTTGGAGCCAATGGATCAACATATGAAAAACAGTTACAGGAATTGGTTTTGGCAAGCCTAGAGAAGAGAAGGACTAGGAGTGACATGATAGTAGTGTTCCAGTAATTTGAGGGACTGCCACAAAGTAGAAGGGGTCAGCTTATTTTCCAAAGCACCAGAAGGCAAGACAAGAAACAATGGATGAAAACTAATCAATGAGAGAAGTAACCTGGAATTAAGAAGAAACTTGCTAACAGTGAGAACAATTAACCAGTGGAATGGCTTGCTTTCAGAAGTTGTGGGTGCTCCATCACTGGAGGTTTTTAAGAAGAGACTGCAGAGCCACTTCTCTGAAATGGTGTAGGGCAGTGGTGGCTAAACTTTTTGGGCTCCTGTGCCAAAAATTGTGCATGCGCTCGCATGCCAGCACCCAGAAAGCAATGTGCCCCCCCCACCCCCTGTGCATGCGTGTGCAATCCTCCTGCCGGCCCCCCTTGCCCCCCCGCCGCCCTTCCCTTACCTGCACTGCGCCTCACAGCTGATTTTCGGCTGGCTTCAGGCCTTTTTTGGTCTCCCAGAGGCTTGAAAAAAGCCTCTGCAGGCCGAATTGGCCCGTTTCATCACTTCCGGTATTACAGGAAGTGATGAAACGGGCCTATTTGGCCTGCAGAGGCGTTTTTCAAGCCTCTGGGAGGTTGAAAAAGGCATCAAACTAGCTGAAAATCAGCTGTGAGGCACACGCATGTGCAGTGAGGTAAGTTTCCTGCGGCTCGTGCGCCGGCACAAATGGCTCTGTGTTCGCCATTACTGGTATAGGGTCTCTTGCTTGAGCAGGGGGTTGGACCTCCAAGGTCCCTTCCAACTCTATTCTGATTGATTGATTGAAGACTGTGAAAGATTCCATGGAACAAATATGGATAGATGCTGCTCATAAGAACAAAGTTCTACAGCTATCTGGAGCAACCTGCATAATTATTCATATATTGTGGAACAAATACTGAAAGTGAATGTACCATTTTCTCAATGTCATATACTTTCCTTATATGTGGATTAGTGTTACTATTAGTGTTACTGGCCTCCATACCCCTTTCCTTCATCCCCTTTATGTCTGCAAGCATATAAAGAGAAAGGTAGCTGCTAGTAAAACTTCCACTCTTAAAAAAATATTCTTGCTGCTAGGGTATTGCTGCATCTCACTATAAATGTCTCTGTCTAGGTTGAGAGTCTGGCAATTTTCCCCCTACTTTCCTGAATCGAACATTACAGCTTGTAAGAATGAGCAGATGCCCCTCCTTACAGCTCTCTCCCCTCCCCACCCTCTTGCTTAAATTCATTTTCTCCATGATAAACAAAGCCATTAGTTTATCAAGTCTATCTCCAGATTTTAATGTGATGAGCCTAAGACATCTGTTAAACATCTTTAATGTTAGTTTAACAAGAACACATTCGGCTGCATCCCCTTGCATTTTCTCCATTAAAACTAGACGTGACGAGGATGCCATCAGATAAACAGGGCAGCTAATGCGTCTGCCTCATGACTTTCCGCTGGGGATGAGGTTTACTTCTTTTAATGACCATGTTCTGAGTCTCGTTTATAAATGTATCTCGTGATTGGAGGACTGCATCTTGGCCTACAATAGACTGATTGCTGCACATGCTGCCAGATTGTACTCCCCCCACTTTATTAGTTTATCAGCCAATTGTACTTCTGACTATAATCAGACTGCTCCCACACCCTCACTCCATGTTTCACCTATCAAGAGTTCAGCATCGGTTTTAAACCCCCTGTTGATGTTTCTGGATCTGAGAGTACCTTCATTAACCATCAGGGTTCTTGGAAGAAACACAACAGTAGAGCAAGCTAATGAGGAGGAGGTGAGAAAGACACACTTTGGTGCTTGCCAAGAGAGCAAGGACACCGAGCTGGAAACACTGAGTTTAAAATGCAATATACGAGTAAGTTATTACACCTATAGTATTTGTTCTTTTTTGCCCACATTCACTACTCAAGATTCACTACTTTGTTATTCGTTATTTACTGGCTTTGGGGAATAGGGGTAGAGTTGGCTCACATACTAATGGTGAAACAGACTCTTCCATTAACAATATAAATACAGGCAGTCCTAGACTTACTACCACAATTGAGCCCCAAATTTATGTTGCTAAGTGGAACATTTATTAAGTGAGATTTCCCCCCATTATATGACCTTTCTCGCCACAATTGTTAAGTGAATCACTGCAGTTGTTAAGTTAGTAAGATGGTTGTTCAGTGAATCTGGCTTCCCCATTGACTTTGCTTGTCAGAGAGTTGCAAAAGGTGATCAAGTGACCCTGAGGCACTGCAACCGTCATAACTATGAGCCATTTGCCAATATGTATGGTGGTATATTTAAAGAAAGTAGAAAGCTATGGTTGTTTTCAGCCAAGCCACCCAAATGGAACTGGTGTGCAAATAATGCTTACCGGTACCTCAGAGGCAGAATGGATACAACTCCCATAGCAGGTGAGTAGTTAGCAAGGCATTCCCAGGTGGAAAGGGAAGTGAGAGCAGGTATAAGGAGTTCTGAAAATTGCCAAAGGTGGCATTGTTTCAGGGCCACTTCTCCAGTCTTTCAGGCGCAAAGGCCTCCACGTTCTCTAGGGCTATCACCAATATTGGCTAGCCACCTTGTAAGATCCTACTCCCAAGAAAAGCGAGCAGCATCCAGCCATCCTATGAAATACCTTTTATCTCAGTATTTTTCATAGAATGGGGTTTTGGGGGTTTATTTTTACTTACATGCGGCTGCTGGGAGGGATTTTGCGCCCATCGCGGAACCACGTGACCTGTGGACGAGGGAAACTGGCAATGCGGGGAGCATGGATGACGGCAGCTTCACCATGGGAGACGCTCTGCTGCTTCTCTTTCTCTTCAAAGCTTCCCATGTCTGGTCAGGGTGCATGTCGGGAGAGTGGAGAGAAAAACAGCAGTGAATAAACTGAGCCACCAAGATACGATATAGTGAGGTAAGCCACTGCCTTAAAGTGTGCATGCGTTTGTGTACCTCCATGATATCCACCTTGGTAAAGGAACGAAGAAGCAGAATATAATAAGACATGACATTTGCCAGTTTAAGAGCACTTCAGAGTCTACCTGTTTTACTTTTTGTCACTTTTTAATTAGGTGAAAACCACGGGAACTCCCAGAGTTGGTTTTCACCAGTCTGTGCCAATATGATATCTCCAAATAAAAGATGCTTTGAAGAATCTACCTGCCTCAGAGTTCTGTTTGCTACGGGTGTATTACTTGGAACGCTGACACCTTTCACATTTTGAGCATGCCAGAATTCATGTACAAATAGGCCTCGACGTACAACCACGATTGAGCCCAAAATTTCTGTTGCTAAGTTAGACATTTGTTAAGTGAGTTTTGCCCCATTTTACGACTTTTCTTGCCATGTTTGTTAAGTGAATCACTGCAGTGGTTAAATTAGTAATGCGGTTGTTAATTAGATGTGGCTTCCCCATTGACTTTGCTTGTCAGATGGTGGCAAAAAAGGGCTCACATGACCCCAGGACACCACACACCTGTCATAAATATGAGTCAGTTGTCAAGCATTTGAATATGAATCATGCGACCATGGGGATGCTGCAACGGTCATAAGTGTGAAAAACGATCTGAAGTCACTTTTTCAGCGCCATGGTAAATTGTCATTAAGTGAACTGCTGTAAATCGAGGAGCACCTGTATATGTGCAGTCAATGGGACTAGGATAGGGCAGGATGAGAATGTAGAAGCCTCAAGATAAGGTAAGACCAGGCAATAATTCAGAGAGGGGAAGACCTAAATCATGGACGGCTAAATGTTTAGCAGCTTATTCATAATTTGTTTTTGGATCCCTGCCTGAAACCATGGAAGAGAAGAGTTCATTCCTACATCCTGATGGATCACAACTGTACGAAGTTACTCAATGAAGTTTACATCTCATTATCCGTCGCTCTTTGGATCCTCAGTTTTATCATGATTACCCTGAGAGAATCACTAGGGCCACTGTAGAGTTGCAGTGGTGTTATTGGAGTAATCATACCCAACATTTTCAGCTTTTGGAGTGGGGGTAGTGGCTTGTGTATTTTACATAAAATAAATATGAAACTCTGCTGAAAAGCTTAATGAAACTATGTTTGAACTGGTTAAAAAAAAAGAAGAAGAAGCAAAGCATTGGGGGGCACTACAATATTTCTCTTAGGGGAATGCATGCAGTTTCTGGACTGCCAATTACCCACCCCATTCCAGGCAAGACTATACCAGAATGTGCCCTTTGTATATTCTTTTAAGAAAGGACAAAAACTGGATAGAAAACCTGAAGTTCCAATTTTCCACAGCTAACAAAACCCAAAGACCCAGGTCATTCCTACCCTTGGAAGCCTAGTCTTTTCTTTTCACGGCGGCAAGTGGCTTTGTGTTCTGTTTTTGATGGGGGCAATGGATTGCTAAGTGCCAAAAAGTCTGTGTCATGTACAAGGTATGAAAGGGTATCCATATAAATGACAGTTTTCTCCTTGCAAAATATATGGGAGTAATATGGCCAGGGCCATTCTTAGTTGCTGCATGTGTGTTCTTTGAAAGGTGGCAATTTATATATGTGAATGAGCACCCTTCACAGCTGACACAATAAAACATGCCTTCTATAGCTTCTTGGGGGGAAAAAAATCGTATCGCAAGAAGCGGCCAAAAGCTGCAGTGGGGGAATAAACTTCTTTAAAACGCAGTTATTAAGGTGCCTTTCCAGATTCTTTAGAGCAAAAGCCACACAAATGAATGTTTCACATGCTTTACACTGGCATTGACCTGTGGTTAACAAACTCTCTTTTACAGACAGACTCAGCAAACAAAGCTTTGCTCTTCTACATTCAGAGCATTCTCCTCTACTGCTGGTAGACATTTGTTGTGAATCGTGCCTCTTGTAAGCCCACTCTCGCTCACCCCTAAAAATGGCCAAATAGCTTTCAGACATGGGTACCTACAGCGGGATGCCTTTCTTCTCCTCACACAATGTAACCGGCAACCTTGTTGCTGAAGGGATGGAGGTCAAGGCCTCCTCATGGCCGCAGCTGTTTGTGGGTAGGAAATTTATAGCACCTTTAATAATAATAGTACTAATGACAAAACGGGTGTGGGGATGGGGGCACCCAGACATTTTATTGACTTGATTTAATTGCTGTAATTAAAAATGTGTAAAGAATCTCTTTTTAACGACTTGGCCATTAGCAGCACCACAGCTGCCTGATTAATTTCCTAGTAGCTGCTTGATTTGCCATCAACCTTTGGAGAAGGGGGCTGCTTTGGGGAAGGGGAAATGGCAAAATTGGAACAGGAAGGGAGAGCGGGATTTTAAGGCAGGCTCTGTAAGAGCTGGGTTTAGCCCAGGCCAAGGGTGAAATGTGGAAGTGAAAGCAACCCCCTCAGGCTCCGTGCCTGGCTGAGGCCCCAGGAACGCTAGTTTTTTAAAACTGTCTTTTAACGTTTGGAACACTTTCCCCCAGTTTGTGGAAACTGATTTATAAGGTTAGGAGATGCCCATAGATCTGCCTTTCCCCAATCTTTGACAGCAATTATTTCCTTTTCCCAATTGCAGGAGAAGGAAAAATATCTTTCTGCCTGACAGAAAGGCAAAGAGTCCTGAAAATTGGCACACTAAATCTTGAGCCTTTGCAGAACATTTCCACACTAAAAGCCACAAGATGTCCCTTTCCTCCCCAACAATTTCCATCGGCTCTCTTTATTTTAATTTTCTTCTGCACTAGAGATCATTGGCTCATAGATCTTCATTTGAAGAAAGCTGATGAAGCACCAAGTCCACTTAGGGTGATTCCCAATTTGGGATTACATCTAATAAGGAACGTCAGGAGGGAAGTTAAGGAGATATCTTTGGAGATACCAATTTCAGGGCTTCACACACATTCAACTTCATTATGAAGCTTGAAGCTGGGGCAGAACAGCCCTTAAACAACAAAACCACACGCACCAGAGGGATAAGTTGTCTTTTCTGAAGCCTTTTTTCAATTATCTTCTTATAGCTGCAAATATAGGAGAGTAAACGCCACAATAGGGAAATTGATTCTGCCATTCCATATCTGTAGCGTAACAGTGCAGCAGCAACTCACTATGATAGAGGAATACATTGTCAGAAGATGACAGGCTTCATTCTTTATCTTCTTTATATTGAAGTGTATCAATGAATGTTAATTGCCCATACATCAGTTCTGCTTTTTTCCCCCTGAACCAGAATTCTCCTTTCTCCTGGTACCTTTGAAGTGACTCATTATTACTGGAATTCTGAGTCAGGATTTTGAATTGTTAACAACATAAACTCCTGCAATTACAGGCTGAAAAAACGACAGAGGGGTAACTTCAAAGCAGGATAGGAAACAGAGAATGGAACAAGGTAGAAGTGCCACTGCTGTGATGTCACTGCCATAGCCAAGAGTGCAATTCCTAGCAGTATTTTTATCACTTGGGAAGCTCTCCTGAGTCTGATCTTTCACCGATGCCTGGTTCTCTGCAGAAGAGATTGTTTGGCTAGACTTAGTTGCATGACATCCCTCTTTGAACAGGGGCACAGCTGGGCTCTAGTGCATAAGAACATAGAAAGTCTCAGAGGCCCCAACAAGCATGTCTGAAGCTTGAATTAAGATTCCGATTCCACTGTTGCTTTCTTGAAGTTTCTTCTTCCGCCTCAGCAAGCCTTCTTCGCTGGGCTTCTGAGGGCCTCACACCATGTCGATTTGACAGATGCTGCCAGTCTAAGCCTTTTGCTGTAAAAAGAAGGTTTCCCATATAGGCTGATGCCATGCTTTCCTTGAAGGCCCTACCTAAGACTGGCTAAGCTACCTTATTGCGTCAAGAAAAAGAAACCCATGAATGCAGCTGTAATATTTTTGTTTTTATATTTTTGACTCAGTCTTGACATCTGGTGTATTGTATGGATAGGTCTCTGCAGTTTTCTTGGCATTTTGAAAGGGCTAAATAAAGTGAGCAGCCCCCACATTACCCAGATGTCTTTGTGTCTAAGATAAGATTAGAATTTATAATCTCCCAGTTTCTAGAATGATGCTTTTACCATCTCACCAGCTAGGCTTTCCATAACAAATCTGACAAGATATAAGTTGCTGTTCTTTTAGAATAAAAGGGAGGAAAAAAAATCAACAAAATTAATTGCCTGAGATGTTTCCTTTGCTCTGCCTAATATTAGGATTAGTTTTGACCCTTTGAAAACTTAGATTATTAAGTTATGAAAGGAAATAAATGTAGAACTACCTCATGTACATCTCCCAAGTTATTTACGAACATAAGTTCCATTGTGCTGAAAAGAACTAGGATGGGAGTTCCCGCCTTCCCTCCCCACAACTGAGTGTTCTACCTGCTTCTTTACACTGCTTTTTCTAAGGAGAAATTTCCTGACAGAACAATTATTCGGTGGAATTAAGTTGTGGGTGCTCCATCATGGGACGTTTTTAAGAAGAGATTGTACAACCACTTGTCTGAAATGGTATAGGTTGCCCTGCTTGAGCAGCGGGCCTGGAGTAGAAGACCTCTAGGACAGCAGTGGGATCCTACCTGTTCCACTCCCGGTTTAGTGATTGTGCATGCACCAGCTAAGCCCTCTGGTGCACCAGCTAAGGCCTGTAGCGCTAATCACCCGGGAGGATAAAGAAGAGGAAAAGTGCAGGGGCTGGTGGGAAGGCTGATCCTGTGCTTTTTGCTTCTTTCTCTTCTCAGCTGATTGTCTGAGGATTTTTTTTCCTCCTCTCAGCTGATCGTTGGAGGCTTTTTTTTTTTTTTTAACGACTGGTTCGGCTGAACCAGTCCAAACCGGTAGCATGCTACCACTGCTCTAAGGTCTCTTCCAATTCTGTTATTCCTAATTCAAGGATTGCGATCCTTCGTATACAGCTGGACTCCAACTCCAATCATTCTTCATCATTAGCTCTAATAGTGGGGTTCTGAGAGCTGTAATTCTGCAACACCTGGATGCTTGCAGGTTCCCCACACAAGTCATATCTAAGATTTCTGGTGTAGCTAGATTAAATCAGCCCTTCCCATTAACTGCTATTCAGTAGATATATTGCAACTGCAATTCCTCGTATTTTGCTTGAAATTTTTGGAAAGGACTGTAACTTGCAGGAAGCTGCTAGAAATCCTGAACCTTCAACCTGAGAAGAGTCCCTTTTAGGATGTAAGATAGTAATTTGGGGGTGGGGCGACCTAACATTTCTAGAAACTCAGGTTACAGGTAATCCTTGACTTACAACCATTCATTTAGTGACCATTCAAAGTGACAATGACACTAAAAAAATGACCTATGACTGTTTTTCACACTTACGATGAGCATTCCCCATGGTCACGTGATCAAAATTCAGGTGCTTGGCTCACATTTATGACGGTTTGCAGTGTCCTGGGGTCATGTGATCTATCCCCTTTTGCGACCTTCTGACAAGCAAAATGAATGAGAAAGCCAGATTCACTTAACAGAGATGTTCCTAACTTAACGACTGCAGGGATTTACTTAACAAATGTGGCGAGACAGGTTGTAAAATGGGGCCAAACTCACTTAACCAATATCTTGCTTAGCAACATAAATTTTTGGCTCAATTGTGATCATAAATCGAGGACTACTTGTACTAGACTGGGGAAGGCTGTTTTAAGTCTTATAAATATTCCTGTGTTCCAAAGTGTTGTCCTCCAAAGTACTTCTTATCCCAGAGAAAATCCCTCCCCTCTTACTTCCTGGATAATATACCCTGCAACGGCGAGGTGTAAGATTTCCCAGGCTAATTGCCAGAGGTGCCAGCAGCCTGATCCAGCCGGCTGAAGCTTGGTCATTAATGTTTCAGCCTTCTTGCCTGCATGTTGGAGAGACTAGATCTGATTTATACGGGCAGCTTATCCCTGCGACAGGCAATGGTGGTGTAATTGTTATAAATGCTGTTTACTTTCCCTGCCTTCCAGAAAGTGTTGTGGAGGAGAATGGCTTGCTTTTGCTAAAAACTATCTGAAGGATTTAACATTTCAGGGAAAGAGCTTCTCAAACTGGATTTCCACGAACTTTAATGAAATGTGTTATAACAGCATTTCTCAACTTGATGATGTCTGGGCTTCAACTCCTAGAATTCCCCAGCCACATCGTCAAGTTGTCCAGGTTGAAAAACACTGTGCTATAATACTAACCTACCCCTTAATCTGCTGACTGCCTCCCACAGCTATTTCAGCCCTTTTATGTTCATTTAGCCATCCAGTTTCAGGCTCTTCTGATGACCCTCAAACTCTCAAGAGCTTTCTTCCTTAAGGGAATATCTTAAGGGACCAAAGGTCAAAACTATTATGTGAAAAGAGAAAAAAATTCAGGTCTTACTTGCCACTGAAATTTTTTACCAATAAAGATGTGCACTCTGAAAGAGCTTTAAAAAGAGGAGCAACAAATGAAAAAAAAAAAAGACATTTAAATGTAATCTCTCAGCATGGAAGAAGCAGACACTGCTTTTGTGATTTGAGGTTCTATGATTTGCCACAGCTATCAAAGGTCAGCTTATTGTTGACAGAGGATTAATAAAGTGTGATAAAGCCTGGAAGGTGACTTCTAATATATAGAGCACAGCTACAGAATTCCTTTCATGATTCTGATATCTAAAAATTTTGCAGTTGGCTGAGCGATGTCCTTTGCAAGTTCCTCTAATCGTGATCTGAAAAAGGTGAAAGAAGTCCTGGTTTGATGATGTTCTTTTCATATAGTTCATAACTCACCCTGTTAAGAAAGAGGCTTTCTGTTAATTTCAGTTTCCCTGCTTTTCTCTTCCACTTTGTTGGTGCGAATTCTATTTTGCATGGCTCAATTGAACAGCTTTTTAGCCCCCCAGAATTTCTCACTTAACTTTGCTTATTAAGGATCATCCAAATGTCACTTAACTAACTGACTGATCTTGGCTGATTATTCTATTAGTGACCAAGGATAAATTTTGGTTTATTCTTTTTTTTAAATAACGTACCATAGCCATTTTACCTAACAATTTATCATTGAAATTAGCAAAATTTCCTGACTTTGATGGAGAAGCCAATATAGGGGCTGCTTGCAATCAGAAGGAAATCCAAAGCAACTTCATGATTAACGTGGCAAAGCAACTTGGGGCAAGTGAATGCATTTCCAAACTGTCCAAAAGTTCATAAAATAAAATGATGACATACACGAATGTAATAATAGGCAAACCCCCAAATAGAGAACACAAAATTGCAACTGAAGCAATTTTGTCCTGCAGTTTTGTCCTTTATCCTGCATTGTCTTAGGAATGATTCTTTTGTGAAAGTGTTTTCAGACTCACAGAATCAAAGCCCATGTTTGACTAATCAGCTATAATTTCCTTTGGTATTCTGTGACATGTTCTTCCATACAGCTTTGCCCCTTAGTTAATTTTCTCCTTTTTGCTTGAAGTACTCCTTCCACTCTGGAGAGGTCCTTCATAATGTGCTCTGCACCTTTTAAGCCTTTTAAAATCTTAATCTCATTATTCCATTTTTAAGAAGTGGTCCAAACATTAATTCAGGCAATATGACAATCTTGGCTGCCCTTCTGACTTGTAGCTGTCTTTGTTCTATAGAAGGATGCCTTGCACATTCCTAAACCGTTGGGAGGAGAGGGCTCATAGCACTTACATGCCACTTGTACTTCGGTCTGTCTTTGCAGCAGGGCTCCCATGCGATTGCGCACAATGCAGCGGTAGAAGCCAGCGTGGGTTCGGTCTAGGGATGTGATCATGTACCTTGTTAAAAAGAGAAGAATGCGGGAGAGAATGAGAGAGAGGGAGGAAAAAGGGAGATGATGAAATAGAACAATATACAACATACACCAAGAGATACATAGCCAAGCCAACTATAAACTTACGCATCTCGATAAGTTACAGCAACTTTCTTTTGTCTCTGTTGTTACAGCACGGCCTACTTTCCCATAAGCTTTTATTATTCGCTTGCCATTTTCACTTATTACACTTTAATTATAAAAAAAAATCATTTAAAATTCTGCGGTTGGAACAAAAAAAGAAAATCACAAAGGACTCAAAGAACACAGTGAGTAAAATCTGTTGTCATCTGTTGCAAACTTGACTTTTTGGATAATTTGCATTTTTATTTGGGATAAGGCAAGCTTCCTTCCCAATTAAAGAAGGAAAGTCACCTGGAGTTCTGAGCTGCAGTAGGATCAGCATGTAGAAGATGACTCCACCTTCTACAGCCTGATTCCAGGCAGGGTATGAAACTCTTGAGTAGTTGATTGAAGGCAGTTTGGGGGTGGATGGATGGATGGATGGGAAAGTGGGAGAAGGAGCAAAAAATGTATGCAGGCAAATTTGTGGGTGGGAAAAGTTTGGATACAGAATTCAAGTGATCTTTGATAAGATTACATAATCAACTCTGTATTTTAGATGAGTTTCTTAATTCAATGTTGCCTGAGTAAGCATAATTCAGCAGCTGTCTTTACCAACTTGGTTGGTCTGTCTTCTCTATCCCTATCAGGGGAAAAAAAGAACTAATTTCAGCAATGTATGCGGTATTTATCACATGCTAAGAGGCTATCTTTAACTCTTTAACACATTCTTTGGCTCAGTATTTGTAAACAGCAATGGATCAAGCCCAGTACTTCCTAGTCAAACCACAGACAACTACAATGATCTAATACATATCGATTTTACAGAAGACATTGTTGAAAAAGCACTGCGCAATCTAAAACCATCCCTATCTATTGGACCAGATGGAATATGTGCCTACTTCTTTAAAAAGCTATCCACTCCCATAGCCGAAACTCTAAGCATAATCTTTGAAAAATCTTTCAGGACCAGCTCCTTGCCAAAACTATGGTCACAAGCCACGGTCATCCCCACCTTCAAAAAGGGAGACCCCAGCCTAGTTGAAAATTACAGACCAATCTCTTTATGTTGCATCACCTGTAAAGTCATGGAATCAATTATTAACCAATCCATTATCCTCCACTTAGAGACAAACAACCTACTCTCTAATAAACAATTTGGTTTCAGAAAAAAACTATCCTGCAATCTGCAACTCTTACACTGCAAAAACATATGGACTACACAACTCGATCAGGGCAAAGCAATAGACACAATCCGCATAGACTTCTGTAAAGCCTTCTTTTCAGTGGCACATGGCAAACTATTCCTAAAACTAAAATCTTATGGTATCTCTGGACACCTGCATAACTGGATAGAAGCATTCCTGTCAAACAGACAACAAATGGTCAAAATTGGGAGTGTCCTATCAAATTCTGTACCTGTCAACAGTGGTGTCCCCCAAGGCAGTGTCTTAGGACCAACTCTCTTCATACTCTACATAAATGACCTCTGTGATCATATGAAGAGCAACTGCGTTCTCTTCGCTGATGATGTAAAGCTATTCAACACCACAGACAATACTACTACCCTCCCAAAAGACCTTGACTATGTATCAGAATGGTCAATCAAATGGCAACTTCAAATCTCAACAAATAAATGCTCTGTCTTGCATATTGGCAAAAAAATTCAGAAAATAAAATACAAGCTAAATAGTCAAGACCTTGTTGAGCATCCAAACTCTGTCAAGGGTCTTGGAGTGTTCATCTCTAATGATCTAAGTGCTAGAGTCCACTGTAACTACATAGCCAAAAAGGCATTAAGAGTTGTTAATCTAATCCTACATAGCTTCTTCTCTGGTAATATCACACTACTAACTAGAGCATACAAAACATTTGCTAGACCTATATTTGAATACAGCTCATCAGTCTGGAACCCATATCATGTATCTGATATTAACACAATTGAGAAAGTCCAGAAATATTTCACAAGAAGAGTTCTCCACTCTACTCGTTGCAGAATACCTTATGCCACCGGACTTGAAACTCTAGACCTAGAAAACTTAGAACTACGCCGCTTTCAGTCTGATCTAAGTATAGTATATAAAATCATACATTGCAATGTCCTATCTGCAAATGTCCTATCTTCAGCTTCAATCATAACAATACAAGAGCACACAATAGATACAAGCTCAAGGTTAACTGCACCAAACTTGATTGCAGAAAATACGACTTCAGCAACAGAGTGGTCAATGTTTGGAATACTCTACCTGGCTCTGTGCTTTCTTCCCCAAACCCCAAAAACTTTAACCTTAGACTGTCTACTATTGACCTCACCCCCTTCCTAAGAGGCCTGTAGGGGGCATGCATAAGCGCACCAATGTGCCTACCGTCCCTGTCCTATTGTTTCTTTTTATTTTTCTTATAAGTATCTATCTCATGTATTCAAAACTATGTTTATTCTTACACCTGTATCTTGTAAGCGATTGACAAATCAAATAAATAAATAAATAAAATAAAATGTTTCAGACATTTTAATTAAGGTAAAACATGGCCTCTTGCATCTTGGATGGAGCTAAAGGGATGAATCAGTTTGACACCAGGCACCAGTTTGACACCGGATTACTAGAACATTCCCAGATCCAATTCAAAGAAGGAGCCTGAGCTTTGGATGCTTTGAGCCTCAACCTCATGGACCTGCTGATGTGATATCTTTTGACTTGCTACTAGGGCTTGTAAAGCTGGCAAGCAACAACAAAGGGCCTTTCCTCATGGTCCTATACAAGGGGAAGACAAGGTTTTTAACAAGGTTTTGTAATCCTGTTTTTGCTACTTTCATTTGGCTTTTAATTACTTTGTGTTTTATATACCTTTCTATTTATCTTTTCAAATTAGACCTCTTTAAAAGGTTCACATTTACCTTTAATTTTATGAATAAGTTATATGGATACTAAAATCTATGTTTTATATTGTAAGCGGTGGTGTACAAAACTGGAGTTAGGTTGAATAATATATGCATTGGACAAAATATATTTCATGGAATGAGAAGGTTCTGATTCCTGACAAAGAAGCTGATCATTTCCCTTCAGGGTAGATAATCCCATAGTATTTTCATTGAAGGGGAAGGATGAAGGACAGGAGGGAGGGAAGAACAATCACTGTGCAGTGTTACAGGTCCATCTAACATAATATTCCTGTTTCTATATAAAATTATCCTAGTGTTCATTCAGAGTGGGTAACAGAATCATTCTGAAGCAGCTAAGCTCTAGGTAGAATTATATTAAACTGATTAGTATTGTCATACTGCTTTATTGCATTGCTCTGAAGTAGCTTTATACCAATGGACAATTATTTTGGGCAATTTTATCCACCTCTACCTTTGAATTTTCAAATTCATATACCCTCCGAGGACAATTGCCTGTTTGGTCATTCTTTGTATTCTGTGAAATTGTCATGATGATAGTCCCACCAGAGCTATACCCCTCCTTCCCTTTCAAACATTTCTCACTGAAGTAAGAGAAGAGGGAAATGTAAAATGAAAAATAGTCTTAGTCTTAGTCTTCTTTTTGGAACATCAATGGTAGGAAAGGAACATGTATGTTGTTCAAATACTAATGTCACACAAATAATTTTCTACTAGAAATACTTCTGAACCTCTATTTACAGTCTATGAACTTCAGATTTAGCAAATTCTGCTTTGTACCACAATGAAATATGTAGGGACAGTTTTCTAAAGATTGACAGTAAGATGGACAAGCTACATATTACACATGAGAACCCAGAATTGGAAAACTTGAAGAATTAAGGACGAAAATGTATGAACATGCTGATGAAAAATTAATGAGGAAGGGAAACAATGAGGAATAAATTTGGGGCACGCTGTGGAGGGGCAATGGGTAAAGAGTTTTGAATCTATATTTCTAATTTAATCCATCTGAAAAGAAAGATCTAGTCTTGAGCAATAATTCATATTATTTCCTTGTAGCAATGAGAGAAACCAGAAGATGGAAACTCAGAGGAAATAAGTCAAAGAATCTACACGGCTTTCAACCCCCACACCCTCAAATTTAATCAAGTGCTGAAAAATGCCAGAGGCTCCTTTGATACGAGTTTGTTTGTTCTTTACACAATTTAAATTAAAGTTTAATAATGAGAGGTGATTATCTAATGATTGCCTCAAAGTCTAGAGACACTCCTTCTCCTCCATGTACGCAGTGCTGCCATTTGCAGGCAGCAAAAAAGGCAGTAAAAAAAACAAAACCACACCATTCTCAAACTGTGAATAAGGAGGGCAAATCCAACAGAGCCAGGCAGACTTCTGCCTTACTGGAATTAGCATGGAGGCTGTCCACATGGCCACTGCACATTTGGAAGCTTTGAAGTTCAGAAAATAGTAGGAATCTTGCTTCAAGGCACCAAGGTGACAGCTAGTGGTTTAGGTTGCTATGGACAAGAATATGCAAGAGGCACTAACAGCTGTTACCTCTCTCCAGAAGAGCCATTGTTTGAAATGTCAGAAATAGCCTGTTAGACCAAGATAATGTTGTTTAAAGTAATGGGCACATACACTCTTTGCTCACACTATTGTTACTCTTTCCGTTGGGATATAACAACTATTCTTCGTCAAACACTGGGTTGCCATGGATCATCTATACAAGTTCATCATCTCGTTAGTCTCAAGTTCAGCTACAGCCACAAAGAAGAATGCAAGGATCCTACATTTCCTTTTTCATTAGCAAGAGAATGGAATATCTTTTCCTGAAGTAATATAAAGGAGAAATTAATATAGGGAATAAATCACCCAAAAGAGTAAGCATCGTGGGCAGTATGTTGGCTCCCTTGATTGAATGGAATCAGATATCTGCCCTAAGTAAGGAAATTTATTTCTCATCAAGGGGTGAGTGGGTGGGCAGATAGCTTATAGCA